AAGAACTCAGGTTAAAGTTGTACAGTTGTAAATTCACTCTTTTCAATATATCCTTGAAACATTTTTGTATGGCTTGCAGAACCTACTTGGGTTTTTGTCCTGGTCCATGCCTTGTTCATGTGCTTCCTGCCATTCCCAACATGTTTCACAGTAAGCACGGATCTGCTCCAAAAGATGGAGCACACGGATTTCCCGTCTGCCTCGCTTATCGTCAGGCTGGGAGTGAATGATGTTATGCAGTGCGGCGCTGGCTCTGGCACGTGCCTCTTTGCTACCACGAGAATTTCCTAACAAGACAGAGTCTTTATCGTTGCCATGTAAGAGCTGGATGAGGAGAGGAAGACATCCAGACTGACGCATGGCTATGCAGCTGTCTTGGGAGCTAGACATTGCCAGCAATGTTCTTGACATGTCATCTTTATCATGAGTACCAAGCATTGATAACAATGAATACACCATTTCCACCTGCAGGTCAAATGATTTTAAAAATACAGTTACGTTTTAAAAAGACACATTAAAGTAAAATGAAATCTGCACAGTACATAAGCAAAAACCCCCCTTATTTAATGGTGAAAAAAAATTCTATTTAGAAATAATTAAGTACTATTCAGCATTCACAATCTCAGTAAACTTCACTTAGTGGTTAAATGCATAGAAGCGTGTGGCAGCTGTGTGTAACTCTATTAATCTACAAGACCAACAGCAAAGACTTCTACATTTCCACTGTACAAAAAGACTAAACAAAGATACTAACGAAAGCGTTTCAGTTTGGGAAATTCAAAAAATATTTTAAATTAAATCTGCCTTAAAAAAATATGTAATGTATGATCCACACTTGTATAAAGATGTTCTTTGGTGAAAAAAACCTGTGCTACATGGTATTAAGATACAATTATACTAGACAAAGGATAAGAATGATTCATGAACTTTGCACTTACGCTGTGCTCAAAAATCTGACACCCATGTATTTTTAAGTTTTCCTTTAAAATATTTTGAATTCACTGATAATTTTTTGCTATGGTTACTGACTTGCATATGGACCTTACTTTTTCAAGCTTACAGGGATAAAACCAGTAAGGCAAACAAATGTTTATTTAATATATATCAAATTTGTCAAATTAAATCAAGCCATGAAAACCCAACATTACATTTAACTTGGAATAACCTAATTTCTCATTAAAAATAGCAATTTTTGAGTGGTTCCCTTGGCTGTCATGTAATGTTGTGTTCAATGCACTATTTGGTTTCTCCCACTCTTCAATGGTAGCTTTCGATCAAGAAATGCATTTGATTCTTCTAGTCAACTTTTAGTAGAATAACAAGATACAGATGATGATTTTAGATACTACCTAGAAACTCCAAACTCCTAAAGCCAAGATGAACAGGAACATACAAAGTCAAAGCACAACATAAACTATTAAGGTGAACTGTCAAGTAGCAGTGTATCGGTTTCTTTAGAATATACTAATTAAGGAAGAAATGAGACTCTGGACCATTAAACAAAGTGCTCTACTATTAACAAGGTGTTTGCAGTTGTTACCCTACCAATGAGTGATTTTATTTGTTCAGTGACAACTCAAATGTGCCTGAAGATGAGAACATATACTGAGTTATAAGAGATGAATAGCAGCAGGTAGGAGGAGCAGGGAGTCTGGTAACATGTACTAATCTAAATACTACAGCATTGCCAAGGCAGTAAGAATCTTAGAATACACTGATATAGGGCCCAATTCTATGACAGTCTAGCATCCTAATTTGGAAAGCCTGTCTTCCTGGTCTGGGAAAAATCATATACAGCATTAAAGCAAACCACTCTGATTCTCAAAGGAGAGTGAATTTGATGTCTCTTGGCAGATATTTCAACTGGCATCTATAATCCAGTGTCATTTGCATCTGGAAGGTAAGGTTTTCTCCAGAGAATAAACCCAAAGAAGCCACTGGAATCAGGCCTCCAGGTTGCAGCTGATACATTATAGGAAAAAACTAACAAACAAACAAATGTATGTTTGTCTGTCTGTCTCTATAAACACACAGTGCCCACAGATGCACCTCTATTTGGAATCTCTACCACTTTCCCTTCTTCTCAGGTATTTCCTGCCTTACAGCCCACTTGGTTCAACCTATTTCTTTGCCTGTGTCCTTCCACACTCAATCCTGTTCCCTCCCTTAGGGCTCCCCCATTGTTTGTAGCTTTGGGAATTCTACAGTTTGCAGCAGCTGATGTCACCTCCATTTAGGACACGTGTACAGTGCAGGACTGAGATTTTAATATTGTAAATATTGTAACACTGTTTCAAGGCCCAAAGTAATTAATACTATGTTAAGCTAATAGGTCCAGTCTTCCCAAAAGACTGTGCTGAGCACACTACCCATAGCATCTGTACTGATGCTGGTTCCAGAAGCAGTATGAATTCCAGTGGTTCATGCATTCAGTTTTGTAACAGATTTGCCCTTTTTTTTTCTTCCCCACCTAACTTCTTAGCAATTGCACCTGTTTTGTGGATTTGGACTTCTTTTTCCAAAGTAAGAAGTGCTCTTAAAAAGGGTAATTTTCATAATTGATTATAAATCAACAGTTTTTTAGATATTCTAGTAACTTCTATGAGTCATTTGCCCCTTACTGTAACAACTCTTAACTGATCATTAACAAGTTGCAAAAAAGAAAAAAAAAGAAAAAGGATTTCTGCACATATATTTTAAAAGCTGAAAGAATATTCTAAAATTTTAACTTCATAAAATTACTATGCACGGATAGATTGTTCAGCTAATATTAGTACTACTGGCAGAAACAATGAGGTTATTGTATTAGTAAAAATGTAGCATTAGCGACCTGTGGTTTGTAATCTTCGGTTACCTTGGTACCCAGATGACTTGTCAGTCTGCGAGGAACAGAATAGTTACTACTAGAGCTCATAACACTGGCTGTCTCATGGTCCACTCGAGCAGCAGAACCCTATAAATTTAAACAACAACTCAGCATAAAACAAAGTCTAAGCGGAAAAACCCAATTGCCTAATTGAGTTTCAGCACTGGATGACGCAGTTGTGCCGACAGCAATAAGCTGTTCAGTTCTGCGAAATTAGGTCCTCTCTGCCCTGACACAACTTAGATGTCACTGTTAAATCTGGTTTTATTAACCACTTTTCCTGAAATTTAGTCTCAGCAAGACTGTATTTTTAATGGAATTGATTTTAAATTACTGTTTTCACCAGGAAGAAGTGGATTTTGCAACAAAGTAATAGTAATTTTTCCAGTGTGAATAAAACAGCGTCAACTTTTACGTCAGATTATGTAGTGCACTGGAGTAACTCTGCACTTCTTCAGAACACAACCAGGTATGCAAGAACTGGCTAGTAACAGGAGATTCACCTAGACAAGGAGTAGCCCTACTGGAATTTGCCAATATTAAAAGCAAATTGTAAGTGGTTGAGTAAATTTTTAATGACCTGTAAAATAATGTGGACACTATTTGATGCAATTTTCCTAGAAATGACTGAAATTGTATCCTCCTACCTGTATTAGCAAGAACTATTAGCACCTGTCTCCTCTTTTAATCCATTTTGTGTATTTACATTTTTCCTTTTCCCACAACCTTTTATCCACTCATTCTCTTGACTTTTTTCTTTTATTTGCTGTTGTTTTGGTTCTTTCTTTTGCTCTGCTTCCTATATGTGAACTTTCCCTTATTATGTCACTCCTTTCCCGTTCACTTTGGAGAGTTAAAAAATATATTTGATTAGTGAACACTCTTAGTATCAGAACAATGTTTTATTGAGGTAGTCACCAGTTTGGTTTCGATCCTCTAAAAAAGCTAAAATCTATCCATTTAATTATTAGGTTAATTTGCAAAACAACGCTTTCAAGCTATCTGAATCAATGAGTATAATTTTTTTTCAATAAAAATATGTGGCACACCGAAGAAAACTCCAAAGACACTTTGAAATAATTTGTTCTTTTCTGTGTGTGCCATAAAGAAAGAAGAGTACTTCTCTCCAAGTATCTGCTGTTCACACAGTTCAATGTCTTAAACGTGAAGTTGGAAGGAACTTATACGTAAAAGGTAGGAATAACTTAATGAAGTGTTTGTATAGACAGAAAAAAATCTAGTTATACTGGAATATTTAAATAGATATTATTGTACTCATTTCACTCTCCAATTTGAATCCAGAAGATTTCATGCATGTTCCAGAAGAAGCACTATGGTACAAGAACATAACTGGAAGGATTTAAATTAACACAATTAATTCCAGTACATATTTCCTATGTAAAAGAAACCCTTATTTTCTGTTGACTACAGGAAAACATCAAAATCTGAAAGCTTAGAATGAAAATAATATTGGATTTTATCAATTATTCCCTTAGATAACATGCAATGCTAGGAATATGGGAATGAATTCCCAGATTTTTTACACCAAGCAACCCCTTCATATCACCTTGACCTCAAACTACATTCAGAGGATTACAGGTTCAACAGAATGTGCATGCCAGAACTCCCTTTTATTAAGCTCAATATGACTGTTTTATCCAAGAAGGTAAAATCGATGTAAGTTTGGAGCACAATCTATTAAAATTTTCCCTGGCATAGACAGAAATAGCATACTTTTCCTATCATTTCCTCCAAGCTGTATAAACTCCAGCTCAGATAACTGTTGTCCCTGAGATGTGTGGCCTTGTTACTTGAAGGATGCCCAAATGAAGTGCAACTGCATTTCTCACTGTCTCCTAAGGACTAACGTGAAAGAACTAGTGTAAGGTGTTGCAGACATTCATCTAAGAAAATAGGAAATGACAAGGAAATATTACATGGACCATTCCCTTTCAAAATCTACTTTTACACTTTATTGTCTTCACTCATTGTTTTACCAGGTTTGCTATTTACCCTTTCAATTAGGTAATTTTCCCTGTTTCGTGACACATTTTCTTAACAAAATGGACAACCTCATCGAATTCTGTTATACAACTTGCAAAACAAAGATACGAACAAAATTCTACTTCAGGAGGAGGATAGGGAGCACAACAGAAAAGACAGCTGAAAGATGGTGCAGAAAAGGACGTAACTGAATACTGAAAAATCCTGGATTCAACTGGAAGTGTTTCAATTAACAGTGACTACAAAACCAATCAGAACCAAATGATTTGGTTAAAACTTTTTTTTCCCTCCATTGAATAGTGATTGCTCAAAGTACATTGAGCCGGTTTATCAGAAATAAACATTATGCTCAATCCATTAAACCTTCTCTGTCTGGACTTGCACTGAAAGTAAATAATCCCCAGATGGCTGTTTTAACACAGGTTCAGTACCCTGGCTCTATCCACCTCAAAGAGAAAGGAATACGCGTGTTCTATACATTTTTATAAGGCAAAGGTCAAAATTGCACACATCCTCAACATAAGACCTCAAATGAAGTACGAATAAATCTTCCATTTGTATTAAGTCTGGCAAGACATGACAATCCCTTCTTCCTTCCCTCTCTGTAAAATATCTATTGGCCAGAAAAACTCCTAATTCATACTCTGAAGATGGATGATGCAGCAACAGTGCATCAATTATTTAAATAGATTATGCTTTCAGCCCCAAAGCAGCACTGAACTATTTCCTACCCAAACAATAAAGCTGTCATAAGAATTAAGAGTTAGAGCTTCAATCAGATATGGATGATAGAACTTAATTCCAAATGGTGATCAAACAAGCTGTGCTTAATGTTTAATCAAGTGAAATATTCCAGCCAAACCACAATTCTTTCTGACAAATCTTCTTGTGCGAGACACTTTCAGAAGTATTTAAATAATTCTACTTCCCTGGAGTAGGAAAAATATTTTGCATATGAATTCAGTTTTTAAGTCTGCAGTGTGAAGTTTCAAGAACCCAAATTATGAGAAGGAATGTCTCAGCTATAGTTGGAAATCATAAAGGGAATGATCATGGTAAATAAACAGAAATATTTTTAGACAAAGACAGAAGTCATAAATATTGACAAATATTTGTTTTATAATGCAAGTAAAGAATTTAATGCTCATCTCAAAATATTCCACTAATGTATTTCACTAATAAAAGGAATAGCCATGAAAGATTATTTTGAAGCATTTAAATAACCCTTCAGCCTACTTCCAGGAGATTACCTCATTGACACTATGGTTTCAAAGCTTTAGATAAAACAGTATTAAAGAAACATTAAGATAAACCTGTCACTTATTTCTCCCTTTTATTTTTAAATATCACTCATATTTCAGTGGTAATTTCTACAGTGACAATTTGAACAATTTTCCATAATTAACCATACTTCTAGTATTACAGTTCACCCACAATCAAATGTATTTTCTGTAGTCTTTCCTGTTATCTCCTTCAAAGGAGTAGGCTCATTAATCATTTAAACAAAAGAAAAATGCTCCCTGCATTACTGAATATTTATACTTCACCTTATTAAAACATTTTCTTCCAGTAAATACATGAAATTTGCCACATATAGATGGAAAGAAGAAATACGTATTTTTTTAATTCAGCAGGCATGCAAACACAGCAAGGTAAATACCAACATGCAAGCATTGTACATCTCAAACATTTCATTGTATTATGAAAAAAGAAAATAATTTATTTACCTGACCAGTACTGCTAGTTGCCACGCTGATTTCTGCTGCTCCTTGACCTTCATTCTGCCTCTCTGTGTCATGGGAACCTGCATCATGCTTGCTTTGAGGTGCTCTCTGTTAATACAAGAGTTTATGACATTACATACAGAAATGAAGTACACTTTGTCATTCAAAGCTTTCTAAACTGTGAACGCCTCAATACTGCATCCTCACAAAGCCATCGAACAGTACTGTGCATTTCATAACCCTGAGCCTCAAAAATTAACAGCCGAGACTGCGTGTCTTCGAAAAACTGCAAGATGAAAGTGAAGCATGTCCTCTGAGGATTACAGCCGTGCAAGACAAAGGATTTGCTGTGACACACAGAAACACCATTTTCCACCAGCTGTGCTCACATCGCTATCAGAAATGTAACAGAATTGGAGCAAACAACTGTCTTCCCTGCTCTGTCATGTGACCTCTGCATTTACCGGAGACTACTGCCAGCACAGTTCAATTAAGCTTTGCATTCAAAGATTACTAATTTCTGCTTCAAAAGGAGGATATCTGTACTGTAAGAATCCTTCTGAATGTCAAGGTCAAACAATGCAGGAATTAGCACTTCAATGCAAGTAAGATACATATAACCCAATACTGATCCATTAAATATTTTGTCAGAATAAATTCAACTGATGCAGCAAGCTGGTACATCTCAGTTCCTCCAGGAACCACATTTTTATGTATCTACACAAAAATTAAACAGGTGTCCCTGCTACTGGGCAGGGATCACGAGATTAACAGGAAAATCAGGCCTTTAAGTACAGTTTCTTAATGAAGCAAATAGAATAACTGAGCAGTTATGAAGTATGTGAAATATCCAGCATTATCTATTAATGTGTTTAAAACATCTCAGACTTCCATAAAGACACAAACATTCCTGTGTATAGGAATGGCTGAAGTCTGGAGTTGAAAGCATTATTATTTTAAAAGTATTAGTTTTGTTGCAGAACCTTGTTTTTCAGGCTCAGAGGCTACTTCCTTGGCAGGAACTTGTTCAGCTACACTTGGTATGTTACATGCAGTTTCTATGTGGCTCTGCAATGTTCCTGAGCAGTACAGCCTACGACAGCATAGTCTGCCTCATCTTGCTTTAAGGATATTTATCTTTCACTTTTAGCAGAAACAAACTTCTCTTCAATGTACATACACTGAAACACCTTTAGTTACTTGGTGATCAAACTCACACAGTATCACTGCCCTACTAACCATGTTTTGTCCATATAGAGCCCAGAAAATATTTAATGTTGAAATGAGTTTCATAAACCAGCAATTAACTATACTACATATGAAACAATAATTTAAGGATAAACTTCAAAATGAAACCTACACATTTCAACTAAAGGAATAAAGTTACGTCAGAGTACAGTAATATTACACAAAGTGGCAATATGAGAAAACTGGAAACAATTACAGGTAACAGATTTCTTAACATTGTATGTTTGGTTATGGAAAACAAGTAACCCATAAAGCAAAACTCACAAAATACTTTGGGAGACACCATGTTACTATTCTTTTAAATCTGATCTGTAATTATAAACAACAGTATCTCTGACACTGTGTATGAAATGATGCTGTTACTGGAACTCATACAACAACTAAAGAAATGTTGGTTCCCAGTACAAGAGTGGGGAGACCCAGTCAGGATCAGGCCTTGCTGTACTACATGCTCAATACAGTGCAATGTATTATATGCTGAATCCTCGTCTCACAACACTTTGAATCTTGAATAATGCATAATTATGAGTTTGACAAAATCTAGATCTGAGCCTCCAGTCTAACTCAGGACAGAATTTTCCAGTCATTAGGTGACATTTTCAGCTGCACAAAGAAAATAGTACTGAACACGCCTAGAGGTGAAAAGCTGAACAGTTCACTAGACAGGCTCTGACCTGCTGGAACGAATACTACTACTCTTTCAAGAACAGTCCTGGGTTTGGTACAAAATTCTGGGGGCAGAGATGATGGTGTATCTGTTAAACACTTCTAATGCATTTAGAGCATAGACCCAGAGATTTTTCACTCCCTGACAAGAAAAGTTCCAGCTCTCCTTGACACTCTCTGTCCTGCTCCTCTTATTTACAAGGATTTTGTTTGCTACAGGCTATTATGAACGAGGTGGCTTCCCACTCCCCCCAAGCACTCTCAAAGACAAGCCACTACAGATAACAGTCAACATAACATGCAAATTAATCTACTAGGCAATTTAAAAATGTTACTAGCAGGGCTTTTCTAAGTTTCAATGCACTATGTGCTCACAACATGCACACCCCATTACTGCCACGTGATTTACCAGCTGGACTTGGAGCACCCAATCTGTAAGTTCACAGTGAAGAGTTCTTACCACTTCACCTACTGAAGTAATTTCAAGTGAGCTGTTCTCTTCATGCAGACTGGCTCAAGGGAGTTAATGACACAGGCAGCGGATAGCAGGTTATTTATGGAAAACTCAGTATTTATATAAATAGGTATTTGTTATAGATATATTAATATGTTTAACTTAATTACTAACATACATTTTCTCTGCAAATAATATGTATCCACACACAGAGATACTGGTATTCTTTAACAGATACAACATTACTGTAAATAAATTAATATTAATCTGACAGACTGTGTATTAGAGGTTATAAAGACAGCATAACCACTTCAAGTACGCTCCCTCTTCACGATACCTTTCAACACTGACTGTAGGACCTGTGGATGACAATACAGAACCTACCAACCACATCAGCAAAGAACCAGAGCATGTAAACAGCAGCAGGCTCTGTAACCTCTACGTGAGGTACAGCAGCTACAGCATGGCACACAGGTCCCCTGGGTGAAACAGCACCACCTGCTTTGAAACATGATTTTTGAGGAGGCATAAGTTGGGTATATAATCTCCTGATATTTCTGAACTCTGACTATAAAGGTCAGTTTACCAGAGTACACTTGTTTCCTCTTGCAGCAAAACAGTGGGAGACTGCACGTGCCTATTACAGCAATATAAAGCCACTCCCTCCATCTTGTTTGCCACTATTTTCTAAATGCTCCTGCAGTCAACAATAACTTCCACTTGTCAATTATTAATTTCCATGCATTTACTAGCAGAAAATAACAAACTCTAGCTATTTTATGACATCTGCAAGCATAGTAGGCCTTGATTAATCTTGGTAAGAGAACCAGTTAGAAATAATTTTAACTAATACTTTGCCGACATGATGTGCCAAAGAAGCCTTTTGTATATTAGAGGCTATAATGTTGTATCATTAGAACAGAATACTTTTCCAGGCATAAACCACTGATTTTTTCCACAATATTCAACTACCCTATTATTTTTGTGTACTGAAAACTACAGATAGTGTTACTTTCTAGATATCAGAAAATGTATATTTTGCCGTTACTTCATATTAAACACAATATATTTACAAGACATATATAAGCAAAAGAATAATGCAACAAACGAAAACAAGAAACTGTAAGACTGAAACAATTTTGCTACAGCTGAGTGAAAGGAAAAAGAAAGGCTAGCGAGTCAAACCCTTGAAAACACTCCTGCCCATCATAGTTTAAAGCCTGCTGAGCATAATCTCTGTAAGGAATAAATCTTTTACGTTTTATCTAGAGCAACACTGCCCAACAGAAATACTTCACATATGACAGATATGAAACAAAGGCATGTACCACTGTAACAAACTGAAAGCCCCACACTGAACACTTGCCAGGAATTTGCTTTTTTCTTCTAAATAATTTCAGATTTGCATACAACTGCCAAAAATTCTCTTTGGACAGGCCTAACTCTACACTGGATTTCAAACCTTATTATGAAAATGTTGCAAAATATTTAATAGAAGTCTCATGAAATTTGAAGATACCATCACTTGCAGGTAAATTACTTCAACTTTTTCTACAATAATTTGCAAGACACAGCAATTTGCCAAACTCTAAAAATGCTGTCGAATGTGCACCAGAGTTTTCTCTGCTCATTGATTTCCAAAAGCTTTTTTTATGCTGCAGTATTGTATTTGGTCTTCTTCAAGATACACTGCACTTGGATTCCACAGTGATTAGCACCACCACAGGGCCAACTGCATCAGCAGGCAAGCTATGATATTTATTATTGTTGTTACCAGACCTTTCTAAACATAAAGAACACATTCAATTTGGGTATCACTGTATCAGGTACAGTATAAAAATATAATAAATGCCTCACGTTTGTATTCTTCAGTTATGTGGAGTCTGCAGTTTGACTGCTACTACCTTCCTCCACACCACCAGACACTCAGAATTAGATCCAGCTCTTTTCCTTAAGAGACTGTGCCCTGGTCTCATTACTTAGAAACGATTAAAACATACTACAAGTATTAGTGTGTGCAGTGACTGCCTCCTTTAGCACCAGCGCCCTGGTAAGTCTGTCCTAAAATGTGTAACTATGCAACCAGACATCCAAACACTACAGAGAAGACACACCGCAACAAAATTTCAGTATGTCAGAACTTCAGTGTATTCAGCAGCCAAATTGGTGAAAGGAGTGAAAAACTAGAGACAAAACCTTCTTTAATTCTGTAGTTGCATTCCAATGCTGTTTGAGCCCTTGAGCTTAAGTATGTCTAAAATACTGTCTTCTTCTACCACAGTAAGAGATAAACACTCTGGGGATACGATTATCTGACTGTGTAAGGACAAAGTATCTGTTGAGAGACTGGCCATGCAGGTAGAGGGAGCTTTACACTAGAAATCACAGGGCACAGAGTGATTCCTCAACAAACAAGGAAGAAGTTGGGAGAGTAGGGCAGGCAAGAAAAGCACCCTGGCTGACGGGAACACAGGTGCAGTCCACACAACTGAAATGAGAGGAATGGCCTTCAGCACAGACATGTAAGGAACAAGGTGCAACAGAGCAGTCTCACTGGGAAAGCTCTCAAGCCTGTGCTGGGGTATCAGCACACTTGGGTACCCCTCTCTCACATGCCTTTACACCATCACACACTGTACAGGGAACAAACAGGAGCACTTCAAGTATATGCAGTCACGGGGCTGTGACCTTACTGGGATCATGGAGACCTGGTGGAATAGCTCCTGTGACTGTTAGACTGCAATTGAGAAATACATTTTAGGAAGGACAGGCTCAGAAGACTCAGGGGAGCCCTCACTGCTCTCTACAACTAACTCAAAAAAGGCTGGAACAAGGTTGGGGGTCAGTCTCTTCTCCCAGGTAACAAGAGATAGGGCAAGAAGGAACAGCCCCTAGTTGCACCAAGGGAGGTTTAGATTGGGTGTTAGGGAAAAGTTCTTCACCAAAAGGCTTGTCAAGCACTGGAAAAGGCTTCCCACGAAAGTGGTAGAGTCACTGTCCCTGGAGGTGTTTAAAAGGCATGCTGTTGTGGCACTTAGGCGCATTTCCAACCTAAATGATCCAAAGGGAGGCAGGGAATTTGTCCTTTATGCAAGACAGCAGCTAGAGTGCATGGTGCTCTGCCTTGGGATGAGTCAGGAGATAGTCATGAGCTTATGGGTGAAGATTATCAGGCAGACGAACACAGGTGCTGCTGTGGTGGACATCTGCTAAAGACCGCCTGATCAGGGAAAAGAAAGAGAGGATACTGAAACATCTCTCATATGCAGTGAAGCTGAGATAACTGGGATTGCTCACCCTGGAGAAGAGAAGGTTCAGGCAAATCTCATCAATGTGCATAAACACCTGCACTGACTAGTATGTCGAAACACCAGACAACCTTAATTTCACACACTAGTGTCTGCTTCACTTATATAAACAGATTTTCCCCAAAATCCTGAAACTATGAAACCAGTACTTTTCAAAATGGAAAAATATACACCCCTTAGTAATCCAAACGCTATTCTGAGCTTTCACTCTAGTTATTTTGGGCAAAGACAAACAATGAAATATTCATGTCTAACACATAATTTATATTTAATTTACCAATACAAGAAATGGAGTTGACCTTCTAAGTGAATTTCCACTACAAGAGCAGTTTTGCTAATGGCAATTACTACTGTGGACTTCGTAATTTACAGGAAACATCCTGTATTTCTTTATATAGAACCCAGCACTTAAAACACTAAAAATACACCAAGCTTCTATAATGATGTCTGACAGAAGCTATATTCACCCTTTTAAAAATCTTATCTCTTTCAAAAGACAAGCAAACCATGACTGTTTGAATCAGAAATTCATTTTTAGAAAGGTATGCAAAACTGATTGTTGCAATAATTTGCTAAAACCAAGACTCAGCCTTTATAATGCATTGCACATTGACATTTCTACTGAAATTTCAGGGTAAACTTTTAAGTGATATATAATTACTGATGAAGCCTCTACAGTGGCACGAAGACTAATCCAAGTATTCCTTGGTGAGTTCACTAGAAAAAGAGTAAGTAACAGCCTAACAATATTGACTAGCTGATTAATTGTGACATTAATAGCTGATGGAAATAATTCTGCCTACCACTTTATTCAAATAATTTGGGATTTTAAAAGAAAAAGATATATATCACAAGTGAAAAAGGCAAATAATTGCTCACTAACCTCTGCTTCAGCTGCTTGTGATTGCAGGAGCTGTCGTATACGAAGAATGTCCTTCTCTATTTGTTGGATTCTCGCCACCCTTGCCTGAAATGAATGGATTTTCGTGTTTGATTTTGTTCAAAAACACCCTTTACTTACTGTACAGAGTGACAGAATGAAGAGGTCTTTGCAAATACTGCTGACTACAAAACAAATGTACTTTTGCAGTAATTCAAGTGTTCTTCATAATAAAACACAGGTATAATTGCAAGCATTCAAAACATAGTGAGTAACTGGGGTTTAAATAAAACTGATACTCATTTGGATATAATAATTCATCACACAGTACATGCTAAGGTATAAAAAATGCTGCCATTAACTTGAACAATATTCCTACTTCTGAAATTGGCATTTTATGCAGATCGTTAGCAAATTACTTCACTTTCATCTCAAAAATTAAAATTCTACTTGCCTTATAGAGATTTGAGAGAGATTTGTATCTGCAGTGTTCTGAAGGTATGAAAGCCTGACAGATTTCTATTACATTCAGTTACTGCAATGATTTGGGAGTTTTGCTCATACCCAGCCTCTGAAATTCTCTGCACCTACAAATCTTGTAAAGAATTAACGAGCTAAGTACAAAAAAAATTAAATACTGCTTCTTCGGTTTATCTGGGATTTTACAGACACACATGAACCAGTCTTCTCCAGCCACACTGCTACTGATTTCCCACTGCCACCATTCTGTGTTTATTGAAGGGAACATTAAAAAAAAAACCCAAATGTTACAGGATGCATGTTCTCCACACAAGTTGTACAGTGAAGCACAGGATGCATCATGATTCTAGGAAATACTACACATCCCTGCATGAGCTTGATAGTTTACTAAATTGACATTATCTGACTTTAACTGTGGGCAGAACATCAAATTTATTAAACAGTACTTTTTGTGTGATGGATAGATTAATAAAATGGACATGCAACTGCAAGAAAAATTCCAATTCTTTCACATGATTAACATTTACAATGCTATACTAGAAGAGCAGTCTAGTGGATACTATGAGGATCACAGCATCATAACCAGTCTTATTTAACATGTTTACAATCTGAAAATGGAAATAAGATGAACTTCTGAACGATGCTAATGCCAAAAGATACACATGGAATAGAAACACGATGTTACCTAGGAAATTCAGAAATACAGCAGAAAATGTAACCACAAAATAGAACAAATTACTGATGTGAGAATCTGAAGCAGCTGCGGGAGATGCATTAACACTTAGTGGAGATGCAAAGCTACGAATGTTAAGCTATCAATTTGATTCAGTTTTGTAAAGCAAAGTATTGGAAAACACAGAGAAGCTTCAGCATAGAGGCAAACAGCTTATTCATCCCAACCTATTCTCCCAGATCAAGAAATTCTTAAGAAGATGTACTTCTGTAAATAACTGTGCATCGGTGACATGATATATAACTAAAAAAGTAAGTCTCTCATTGTCTTGAAGAATTGCTTGAATTTTATATGACAGAATAGTCTTGGTTGGAAGGGACCTGTGAGGGTCATCTATTCCAAGCTCTCTGCCATAGGCAGGGACATCTTCATGTAGATTGGGCTGATGAAAGCCCCATCCAACCTGACCTTGAACGTTTCCAAGGATAAGGCACCCACTGTCTCTTGGCAATCACTTCCAGTGTTTCACCACCCTCACTGTAAAAGGTTTCTTTCTTGTACCTAATCTAAGTCTACCTGCTATTAATTTAAAACCATCACCTCTTGTCCTATCACAACTACTCTGCTAAAAAGTTTCTTATAGGTCCCCTTCTTAAGTACTCAAAAGCCACAGATTGCTCCAAAATTTCCCAAATATTGGATTTCTTTCTGTGCAACCAGCAGTTTATCTGATAAAAGGCATCAAGAGAAACTGAGTATCTTTATATACACACAAAAACACAGGGAAAAAATTTTGTGGAGGTGAAAACATTAAATATTGCACCATATGCCCAGTATCACTTACTGAGTACTTAAAGGGACAGGAATTCAATATATGCTACCCAATTTTAGTCTGGAGATCTAAACTTTGCAGGAAATAATGAAAAAAAAGGAGAATTACTAACTGTGGGAAAAAAGGGCAGGCTACTCAAGAAGAGTTCAGGAATATAGTCAGGTCATGTAGGAAGAAACTTTAGAGAGACAAAGGCACAATTTGAATTAAATCTGGCTACTTCTGTCAGGGATAGCAAAAAGTGTTTCTATAAATACATCAATAGCAAAAGGAAGTGCAAGGAAAACTTCATTCCTTGTTGGACGAGGGAGGGAACAGAGTGACCGAAGATGGGGAAAAAACTGAGGTACTTAACACCTTCTTTGCCTTAGTTTTTAATAGGTCAGGTTGTCCTCAGGACAACTGGCCTCTAGAGCTGACAGACAGAGATAGGAAGCCAAATAGCCTCCCTGAAATCTGAGAGGGAATGGTAAGCAAACTGCTTAGCAGCTTGGATCCTCACAATTATAAGGGACCAGATGGGATCCATCCCAGGATGATGAGG